GATTTCCCCCCAGGTGTTTACTGCCGGAAGTTCTCCAGAATATCCCCGCCAACTCTTTGCCAGCCATCGAAGTCGATTGGAACAGGCACCATGGACTCGGTGCCATTTCCTAACAATGGGACTTCATCCTCCTGGGAGACTATATTGATCAGTGCGCAAACACACAGAACCAGTCTAATTCTACTCACGCCCGCCATCAGCTGCTTTCTTTGGTTCTTTGCTTCTTGGCAGACATCGCCGCTGAAGAAGTTTCCTGGACCACTACTCGCAGGTATTCTACGAGCTTCTGATCATGAGTCGTCGTCTAATAGAAGTTGTATCTAAAGCTAATGGACGGCAGGATGGACGAATGTCTGGAGGTTTTGGCAGGTGATTGCAGCGGAGTATGCCCCCCGGATGAAGAAGCTCCACGAGAAGCATGGCCCGGTCGTTCGCCTCGGTCCGAATCTTCTAGACCTTGATTATCCCGAGTTGGTCAAAGTCATCTACGGCACCGATGGCAAATGGAAGAAGGTAATGCCATTTCAACACAGCCCAAATCTTGTCGTGTGCTAAGTCAATGATTCAATATAGTCCGATCTCTACAAGAACAGCAGCACAATTATTGACGGCAAGATCACCTATCACATGTTCAGCGAGACCGATAACAAAGAGCACGCAAAGCTAAAGAGACCTGTTGTGCGACACTTCTCGGTCCCCAGCGTTCTTGCAATGGAGCCCCATATGGACAAGACGATTGATGAGTTTTGCAATCATCTCGAACGTCGATTCGTAGACACCTCCAAGGCCTGCGAATTTGGCGACTGGCTTGCTTACTGTATGTCGAGGTATGCATGCTTCAGGATGCTCGAGTTGCACGGCTAACCGCAGTCTTTCTTGCATAGGTGCTTGGGATTTCCTTGGCTACGTCACGTTCAGTAGAAAGTTTGGCTACATGGACGAAGGGCGTGATTTCGACGGCACACTTGCGATTGGCGACCAGGCGATCGACTATCTCGGTCTCTGTGGCCAAATGCCGTGGCTAGACCACTGGCTGGACAAGAACCCGGTCTATCCCCTCGGACCCCCGAACCTGTCCAACGTGACCAGGATCGCGTTCGAGAACCTGACTGCGAGGCTCAAGGGTGAAGATGATACATTTAACCCCAAGAAGCCAGATTTTTTGCAGTACTTCATCGACTCCAAGGGGACACATCCCGAAATTGTGGACGAAGGCACCATCATCGGCTACCTACTTTTGAACTGTGAGTTTGTTTGCTCAATCAATAAAAAAAAGCATCGCAGCAACTGACGCGAGGAAATAGTGATTGCAGGGGCCGATACCACGGCCATTACTATGCGTGCGCTGTTCTACTATTGCCTAAAGGACAGGCGTATCTGGAAGCGACTGGAAGCCGAAGTCATCTCGATTATCCCCGCTGATAAGCCCGCGCCTTACGCCATCGCCCGCGGGCTTCCGTACCTCGAAGCCGTTTGTCGAGAAACTCTACGCTACCATCCACCCATCGCGATGACAATGGAGCGAATCGTGCCCGAGTCGGGTCTCACCCTTCCGGATGGCTCATTCGTGAAAGGAGGAACGCTCATCGGCATGAACCCTTACATCATTGGACGCAACAAAAAGGTCTACGGTGACGATGCCGACGACTTTAGACCTGAGCGGTGGCTTCAGCAGGATGACGAAGACGATGAGGCCTATAAGCTGCGAATGCGACAGTGGAATTCGACGGATATCGTCTTTGGTGGCGGCTCACGAATCTGTCTCGGGCGGAACCTGAGTTTGATGGAGGTTTATAAGATTATTCCGTCGTTGATTTCTAGGTTCGAAATTGAGCTTGTGGATTCGAATGAGGAGTGGTGGACGAGCTCGCGGTGGTTTTACCGGACGAAGGGTGTTGTCTGTAACTTGAAGCGCAGGGCCGCAAATGCATGAGGCAATTTTGCACTGCAGGCTGTTAAGAGGGCGTAGGCGAGTGTCACATTCACCTTGCTCACATGAGAGGGTAAGAAAAGATGGACCAGTGTACTGGAAAGTTTGAATTACTATTACTATACTTCAAGACACACAAACTCGGATCATGCGGTGGGAGCAAATGTGCCGTTGGCGCACTCGAATCCGAGGTTGGGGTTCAGCGTCGGCATCGCGTTCATGCAAATGAGCTTGGAGGCGCCGCAGCTCTGGGGGTGGATCTTGATGTCTCTGGTCTGGAAGTTCTTGCAAGACGTCTGGGTGTTGCACTCAATGATGACGGCCTCGGTGTGGGTGAGGTTGGGGAGGCCAGAGTTATACCAGCAAGGCTATGCTAATGGTCAGCATACATGTATTCATCGCAAATTGTGAATGTAGAACTGTGTGAAAGACTTACGTTTGTGGTGCAGGATCCGTCACCAGGGTTGTTGGTGTTGATGCTGCCGGAGAAGTGCTCCCAGGTGAAGTCCTCCATCATGACGGACGAATTGTTGGGCCTGTCGCCGCCGGCGCTGGCCTGGTTGTAGTAGGTCTGCGTGACAAAGATGGGGAAGGTAACGTTGTCGAGACGGATGTTGCTCCAGGTGATGTTCTTCGCCAAACCCTGCCCACCAATCCAGCTCTTGAAGCGCGCAGCGTACAGACCGCCGTGGACATCAACGTCCTCGAAGCGAATATTCTTGACATCAGCCACAGAAGCAACCTTGGAGCCGAGCGAACCGACGCTCATGCCGTGGGTCTCGAAGCCGATGGTGGCGTGCTTGAAGAGGACGTTGTTGGCGCCGTCGTTGATGGCGATGGCGTCGTCGCCGTTGAAGATGTTGCTGTTGGTGATGGTCACGTCCGTGGCGCCGACGTCGAAGCCGTCCGTGTTGAAGGGGAAGCCGCTCGTCTCGGAGCGGGCGTCGATGACGGTGTCGGAGATTGTAATGTTCTTGCCCTTGATGGAGAAGTTCCAGCCGATGGGCTTGAGAGACTTCATGTTCTTCATGACGCCGTTGGTGACGCTGAATTGCATGAGATGGGGCCGGTTGGGCGTGCCGGTCTCGCCGGGCTTGTTGGCATCCCACCAGGCTTGTCCGTGAGACTTGATCCATCCGGCGTGAGGCTGTAGAGGAGCATTTTGTGAGTATCGATGAGATTTGTCAGAGTATTACAGTCAGAAACATACATCAGTTGAGGCAATCCATTGGACATTGGTGCCGCCGATTTGGAACCAGGTGAGCGTGCCGCCCTTTGCAGAGACGAGTGCCTGGACGGTAGGGATGTCCTCGGGCAGAGTGATGTTGCCATTAACGGTGATGACGACGTTGGAAAGCTTGGTGGCGACGATGGGCTCGTACGCCTTGTACTCGACGCCTTCACGGAAGATGATCTCGGCATCGCTAGCGCACTTAGTGAACGCCTCGGCGATGGCAGCTGCGTCCGACGTCGCGTTGTTGGAAGGCGAAATAACGCATTTTGTCGTCTGCGCGAGCGCGGGGGCCGCGAGAGAGAATGCCAATGGCAGCAGGTTACGGTACAGCATGACGGCGGCGAAGAGGAGAGGCGATGTAGAGACCGTGGGTTGACGTTGAGAGAGAGGGTGAGTAGCTCGGCAACGACTCAATCCGTTACGAGCGGCCAAGCCGGGTCATTATAAACATCTCAAAGCTTCGCCCCGAGTCGTGGGACCCTCGTTATGAGGGGTCCACACAGGAGAGGAAGGGTGACATCGGTCTCCCGGGTCAGAGCATATCGAACAGGCACACCTGGTTACCCACAGGTTTCCCTGGGAATTTTTTGAGTTGGGTTGGGATTTCCGGGATGGTCGTGGTTTTTTGCGGAGATGAGACTAGTATCAGGTAAGGAGAGGCCGAATCTTAACGGTTGCTGACGTTGGTCCCGGTGGGCGAAAGAGCCTCGATTGCGGAGGGGAGGGGGGGAAGTCAGGGGACCCAAAATGGGGATAGGCAAACGAACGCGAGTTCAGACGATCCACCGTCGATATTGATTGGATGGAAAATTATTCCCCGTTTCCTTAATTGCCTTGCGCTATGGAATCGAGTCCTTGCAAGCTGCAAAAAGAGATCTTCCGCACGTGTTGGAGCTTGGTCTCGTTTGGTATGAGTGATCCCCGCGCGTGAACTTGCGCTTGACTAGGACCAGGGCCGGATATGCGGCACACTACCCTGCGGCTCTTCTCTCAAAGATTGTGAGTCGAAGACTTGGCGAAAGCCGCAGGAACAAAGGCGTCGTCAGTTGAAAACAGATAAGAAGATTGTTGCTGGCAGAATTTGTACCTGGGTACGGAGTAGATGAATGACATTGCTTGACATATTTGCGTGGTGCGACAAGTCATATCGAAGACACAGCCCTACACACCTTGTCAATTTAAGACAGGGTGAACTAATCAAACCTTGTGCCATCTCGATATGCAATTTCCGGCTAAGCTTTGGACGCAGTTTATATTTTGAATCCGAGCCTGCATGGGTGCCATGCGATCTCAAGTGAGCAACCCCACGGTAGTATCTGTCAGCGATTCGGCCGGGCTTAATTCTAGGCCGCTATAACTTTGAGGGCCTGGCCGTTAGAGGCTCAATGGTCTAGACCACGAGTGGTTGTTCATAAAGTGATCTCAAGTTCGTCAATTTTCTTGTCAAACTTCACAACAACTACTCGTTGGATGAACCGATTGTGTACCCAAGCTTCCTCCAATAGCAATGTCGTCGTAGGCATCTGTGAAGCCAAGCCGGAACCCCGTCTGGATCGACAGATTGAGAAGGCCGAGCCCGGCTCGGCGGTCTCGGCGCCCCACTCTTTCCCGCGTGGTCAAGGCTGCCCCGGTTCTCCTTTGATGTCGAGGATAGCATCTTCGTTTCTTCTCAATATGACTTTTTGATATGCCTTGATTCATACGGGGAGACATAAGCCATGGTATGTGTATCATTTGAACATGGATCCAAGAAGCTCTTCAGGCTCTGCGCAGTTCAATAATTGTATTACATTCGGTTGAATGATTTGCTGCCGGGTATCATACACATGCCACGTCTCACTCCTCCTGCTGCTCCTCCGCCTGAACCTGCTCCCTCACCGGGGCCGCAGGTCTCGGCTGGAGCCCCCTTTGCTGATCCAACTTCCTTCTCTCCCACGGCTTCAGCTTCGTCTCCTCGGCCGGCCCGTCCACCTCCTTGGCCCACTTGACCCAGTCGGACCGCCTCGTCTTCCACATATCACCCTTCCACGTGCGCCAGACACTGCGGCCCATCCACGAATCGCGCAGGGCCCTCTCGTGCTCCGCCAGCGCGCCGATGATGGTCTGCTTGACGTGGAACGGGATGGACCGGTCCCCGCGGGAGGGCACCTCGATGATGGCGAGGACGACGTTGTGGCCGAACTGCGACTGGGCGAGCTCTGCTGCGTGCGTGGCGAGCGTGCCGACGAGGGCCTTGTGGAAGAACTCGTTTTGAGGGGCTGCGGGGCTTGCGAGAGCTGTCGTCAGGACGGTCATTGATGCCATTGATGTGGTTGCGAGCTTGACGAGGAGGTCCGGGGGCGTGGCGAGGAGAGACTTCTGGGCGACCTTGGTGGGGTTGCCAGAGGTCTTGAGCATGGCCGATACGAGCTGGCAGCCGTGGTTGACGACAGCAGTCTTGTTCAGCGGAGCATCCTGCTGGAACTTCTTGTCGTCGGCGGGCTCTTCCTCGACCAGGTGGCACAACTTCGGCACGACGTTCTTCGGGTCGGAGCCGAGCGCGTCGGTGAGAGCCCTGGTGAGGGCGCTCTTCTCCTCGTACGCGCCACGGGCCTCGCAGCGCTCAAAGAGGGTCTTGAGCACGTTGTACCGAGCCTTGGTCACCAAGAGGGGCACGGCGGGGATGATCTTCTTGACGGCTTCGACAAGATCGTCTTTGCTGGCACGGTTAAGAACACGTAGGGCGGGATACGAGGCAATGTCGTTGCGGACGTAGGTTGCGATGCGCTCGCCGAAGAAGTTGCGAGAGAGCGCCTTGAAGATCTTGCCGGGGCAGTTTGTGAGGAGCGTCTCGAGAAGGCGAGATCCGATTTGGTCGTACACCATGCTGTTGATGAACTCGGCCGCCTGCGATGACTCGTCGCTGAGAGATTGGGGTGCGTCAGGCAACAGCCTGTACAGCAGGGTATCCTTTGTTGATGCTGCGGATTCCTTGTCGCTCTTGTGGTTGAGGGAGATGTCGAGCTCGAGCAGGAGCTGGAGGAGCGGGTTGCCCGTGGGGTGCTTGGCGAGCACGCGCAGAGCGGTGAAGTCCATGCCGGAAACGGCGTCCTGGATGATCTTCTTGGTGGCCAGGGTGAAGGACTCGGGGACGGCCCTCAGCTGGTGGGTTAGTTCATCCGCGGTTGCTGTGGCGCCCTGAACGGAAATGTACTCCTTCTTCTTGCTCTTCAGCATCGACTTGGTAGCTGCGTCGTCCAGTGGTCTTCCGGACAAAACAACCAGAAGCACGCGCAAAGTGTGGGATCCGAATCGGTCCGTCAGGAGGAATCCCATGTGCTGTTCGAACTCGTCGAGGGTCATGAGGAAGAGATCCTCCATGGTGTTCTCCGGCGTCGGCTCGCCATCCTCCTCAGTATCCATCTCGGCATCCGCCTTCGGTTCCGGTACGATACCTCCCAGTTCTTGCGTCACAACGGGTGCCGATTCGAGGAATAGCTTCTCGCAGCAGTGACTGGCAAATCGGTGCTGGACGAGGGACAGGAAATGGCTAGCAAAAGCATTGAAGATCTGCTTCTTCTGTCTCGTGTTGGAAAGTATGATGAGGCGCTCCATAAGTCTTGAAAGCGATTGACTGCTGGCCAACTTCAGCTCTTTGCCCTTCGCCTCCTTGTACACGTTTTGCAGGAAGACGTCGCGCTCCTCGGAGGAGGGGAACTGGTTCAATTCGAGCAGCTCGTCGGCGCGGCGGAAGTATTCCTGCTCTTCATCAGCGAGCATGCCGAAGAATTCCACCTCGGGCCCATTGCCACGGAATGACTGCTCTTGCTCGTTCGCTGCATCGTCGAAGCCGGATTGCTGTTCCCCATCCTGCTCCTCGTCCTGGACTCGCCTGCGCTTCGATGATCGTTCCTCTTCGTTCGCCTGGTGGTTCTCTTCGTGCGTCTCCCTCCTCTTCTTCTTTCGCTCGTCGCGAATCGCTTGACGTTTCGTTCTCGGTTTCGGCATTGTGGAAGGGCGCTGAAGATTGCAGGGTGAAGTGTGTTTTGCTGGGGAATTGGGCGGGTTCGTCGCACTGAGCACTTGAAAGTCGAGTAAGAAAAAAAAAACTTTTGGCACTCGCTATCTTATCGCTTATCTTATCGAAAGCCACCCCACCACTCTCATCCCTGTCCCGCATCCAGATCCATCACCCCTGCTCCCCCAGATGCGTCTCCTACATAAAGCTCTTGCGTCCCTTCAGTTTTTCCCATCTCCATCCTCGTCCAATTTAATCGATGGAATGAACCTTCTAGCTCTTTTCACTGATGAGTGATTTTCTTGTTCTATCAATCCATCATCCAAGCTTGTTTCGGCCCAGACAGCGCCATCAATGCCCCGAACAGCGCAACATCGCGCACGTAGATATCGTCTTACCCGTAGACTTCTTGAGTTATTGGTTGAGCCGAGTCTATCTTCTGGTCTATCGTTCTACGACATGTCTGTATCTAATCTGCACCATGTTATCATAAACTTCCTTAGTACTTACACAACAACCTCCTTGCCAACTTCTTCAAGTGCCTTGACCAAGCCTTTGACGGTTCCCTCGAGGGTCTGACAGTTGACAACAACCCGGAAGAAGCTACCTTGTTCTCCAGGAGCATAGTCAATCATGAACCCCCGCTGTATCAGCTTGTGGACCATCTGGCTAGTCCGTCTCGTATTCTCCTCGGGCTTCTCTGCAAGCTGGCCATTTGGCGCGTAGTAGAAGCAGACCTGCAAGCAAGGCGGCGGGTTCGACGAAACCAGTACAAAGTTCTCACTCTTCTCGACCAATGTCGCGAGGTACTCCGCCAGGGAAAACGCATGGTCAAGCTGCTTCTCGAATCCGCCGGCACCGTAGTAGATCCACGCCAACGCCAGCTTCAGACTGTCGCCCCTACGACCGCACTGCAGCGTAAGGTCCGCCAGGTCCCACACGTCCTCGGTCTCGTCCACGTTGTGGAATAAGTATCCTGCAGGCAGGGTGTTTGCCTTGTGGAATACCTTCTCATCCGGCGTGAGCAGAAACGAGCACGTCACCGGCACGTTCATCATCTTATGCGGGTTAACCGTCAACGAGTCTGCCAGATGGGAGCCTTTAAGCTTCGCCTTTTGCTTCTCTGAGAAGATGGCGGAACCGCCCCAGCTGGCGTCAATGTGGAACCACAAACCAAACTCTTTACAAATGCTCGAAATCTCCTCAAACGGGTCGTAGGAGCCCATGACCGTCGTCCCGGCCGTCGAGTTAACGTAAAGAGGCGTCTTGCCCTCTGCCTTGGCGCGGACGACGAGCTCCCGGAGGGCTTCGGGGATCATGCGTCCCGCGGCGTCGATCGGCACGGCCCACACGCTTGAGGCGCCGAGGCCGCAGGCGAGGGCGCTCTTTTCGACAGAGTAATGGCCGTGGGCACTAGTGAAGACAACAAAGTCGTGCGCGCCGTTGCCGGAGGCCTTTGTCTCGGGGTAGAGGGCGCTCCGCGCCACGACGAGGGAGGTCAGGTTGGAGGAGCTGCCGCCCTGGCAGGTGACGCCGCCGGCGCGGGGACCGTTGAAGCCGAAGAGGTTTGCGAACTTGCGGGCCGTGATCTTTTCGATTATGCTCAGGGCGGGGGAGACTTGGTAGACGTGGAGCTGATTTACTTAGCAAAGGCTACCGATTGAAAGTGAGGTGGCCGGATAACTTACATTGGTGTTTAGGACGGATAGAACGAGATCGGAGACAACGCCAACCTGTGAAACTCATAGTCAGACTTTTACTCACGGCGCCGCGCATACACCAAAGGCCGCCAACATACCGGAGTATTGCTTGCATACAACTTATCCATGAAGCCCTGGTCCCAGGTGTTGACGCTGTACCTCATAATCTTTTGCACGACATCGAGCAGCCCCTCTTTACCGAGCCCGTCGCCCTCGGGAAGAGAGAGCTTCAGCTTTTCAACCAAGGCCTCGGGCTTTTGCGTGTCGACCAAGACGTTGCTCGGGACGCCTTCAATGTCGACCGATGTGTAGCCGCTGGGCTTTTGGCCGGCTGCTTCATCGGCTGCTCTGATGTACGGGACGATCAGACCTTTGACGGCATCAAGCAGCTATTGAACAGGGGGCAGGTCAGTCGGGAGAATGCACGACTGCTTGCGATGCTGAGATACTTACATCTTCTACTTCCTCGGCTCTTTTGAGTGTTTGCGGGACGGCATGGTGCCCATTTGTGCCGTTTGTGCCGTTCATCGTTGCTGTGCTGAGATACTAAAACTCCTCTTTCACGGCAAAGCCTGAGAAAGTACTGAAAAATTTCTTGCAAAAATGCGAGAAGCTCAGACGATGAAAAGTTTCGTCAAAAATACCGCTCAAATTGGACAACACGGAACAAATTACTAGTCGAAATGTGCGATATCCAAGGGGGTCGAGTTGCTTTCTCAGTCCACTTCTATGGTTCTTCAAATGTCGTCTCCAACCTAGAATGAGTAATACTATTTTGGAGAAATTCTTCAAAAAGCCGGCGTTTATTCCCCGATGACGGCACATCGGAGCAAAGTGGCGCGAGCCCACCTTCATCCAACCGGCTGGGAAACTAGCCGCCCCCGCCGCCGGGTCCAACGGTACCTTATTCAGCATGTTTCTTTCATCATCACTTTTGTTGCATTGGTAGAGCCGGCCAATCCAGTTCTTCAGGTTTATTACACGTGCTTTAGCTGACACTCTGGGCTTGGCAGAGCAGACATGTTGTCCATTGACACACATTTTTTTCAGTTCACCAAGGAGAGCGCAATTAATCAACAGATTAAACATAGATACTAGTACTTGACCCGGGCTCTCGAGGGCCGCTTGAAAGAACCGAACCCCGATCGGAAAGGATGCGGCACAGTCAGATCTTTCCCACCGACCCGGATTCGTCCCACCGAACCGCCGTGCCAAGCATGTAGTTTAGTGGTGTCTCACCCGGAATGTCTCACCGGGTACCGAGAGCCTAGAGGTGGCCGCTTTTTTCTGCCCAGTTCCGGATCCCGGCGAGGAACGGTGGCCTGTATCTGACTTTCGAATATCTCTTTTGTAGCACGCTCCACGTTGGAATGATACTATCAAGCGATTTTATCACTGACGTAGCCTCTTTTGGGTGGTCTTGACGATGCAATGAGGGAGTCGAAGTAGGGATACAATCTAACACAATGACTGGATATGGGAAGCTTTCTATTTACTACACTGGAAGCACCTGACCCGGGTACCTCGAGGCCAACTCAATCCATTTGCTGTTGTTTCCATGCGATGATTACCATCACGATCGGTTCTCACGAACCCGATGAACATTTTCGCACCATAACAAAGCCTTCAGCGATGCCAACTTGAGCATCAATCCGCATCCAACTTCTCGAAAGAGCCCGGGATGGCGGAGCATGAACACGCAGAATCAACAGACGACATTCGTTTGAGATGCCACGGGGAAAGTTTCACAGTATCGAAAAGCTGGTAAGTCCCCCCCGTCACCTCACGACCTTTTCAGGGAGAGAGGGGGCATAAGTGTGATCAATGCGGGTGAGGTGGCATCTGACAAGATGTTGAAACGGGGGTTCACCATCGTCATTGGGGGATACACCTGGTTGTGCCATGATGTTTCCTACCTTTTCTTGGGTGTGGTGCCTCCGAGCTATGGACCCTACCTCATAACGTGTAGCTGGAAAATATGCAGCTACTACCTGCTGGGCTGACCTGCATCTGATTGCAGCGCCGCCGCCGCCAGGAACGAACCTGCATGCAGCCCGTCTTCCCGCGGTACCGTATGATGCATGTCCGCCTAATTGACTCGTGAGGTTATTTATTGCCATGTGCATGACAGCATGATGCACCTTCGACGCAGGGGTGGGGGGGGAAGGCGGGAATGCATAGAACAACCATTCTTCGATTGAGGGATGCCTGCAAACAGGAGAGAAGCATCGCGTGGCACGACGAAGCGAACAAAGGATACTGATCCCAGAGACACACGTGGTATGAGATTCAGGAACGCCCCAAACCCAGAACCCCGGGTGAGAAAACGGTCTCAGAGGGGGCGGGGAATGGGAGAGGTGTTTGCTTCTAGTGTACCGAGTACCGTAGAAACTCGAGCAACTCGAACTTGCGCTAGCCCGTGCCAGCCCTGCTAGCGGCCCACACTAAGCCCTTTCGAGGGATCAGTTTTATCCGATTATATAATCGACTAAACCGTATACGGAAGGCGGTAAGTGATTATTTTCCATTTTTTACTCCTACCCAACTGCCCACTTCCACCGATTACATCACCGATTTGACCACCAATTATACTGTCAATTATACCTCCAATTACACCTCCACCACGGGCCTCGTCGACGTGCCCACGATGCCCTCACGACGGGCCCTTGCCGAGAAGGATTCGAATACGGCAAAAGTGCCAATTACACCTCCAGCAGCTAAGCGCCGCGGGCCTGCTCCTACCCCCATCAAAGACCGGAAATATACACCGCGAAGTGGCCCAATCAAGCGCCGCCAGCACCACTATACCCACGATACCAAAGTCAACGTCCTGATGTTTTTAGAGCATCACCGCGTGAGGAAGCTCGACGAAGAGTCGATTTGCCCCCCGAGGCTGCGCCAGGGCGAGACCGAGCTCCCAGGGATATACAGACGTCCCACATACCAGGAAGCCGCAGATTGGTTCAAAGTCCCTCGAAGCACGGTTATCTCCTGGTATCAGAACCGCGAGTCAATCGTCAATCGGTCCTCCAACTACGCCTACCACCCTCAGTGGCCAGAGCTCGAGACAGCGCTATACGGCGCCTTCCGCCAGCGACGAAGTGAGGGAAAGCTCGTTAGTACCAGTTGGTTCAAAAGGACCGCTAAGCGGATTTTCGCCCAGCAGAACCCGAACAGCAAACATCTTTTTATTTTTTCCCCCGGTTGGTTTCGTGGCTTCCAGAATCGTATGAGAATTACCCGACGTCGACTTACCAAACAGGCAACGAAGTTACCCACTGAGTACTTCAAAGTTGTCAACAGCTTTCTTTCCTTTATCCGACGAGTTAATCAAATGGCCCTGGCTAAGGTGAAGCGGTCTAACGTCGGAGATTTACTCGGAAGTCCAGCCCGTCGATTTCCTAACTCGCGAATTCTCAACCTCGACGAGACCCCAGTTCCTTTCGAATACCTAGACGGTTACACATACGACGACGTCGGGGCCAAAACCGTGGCTGGCAAGAGCGACCGCAGCGGTTGGGGCAAGCGGCAGGCCACATTAATACTCTACATCTTCGCCGACGGCATACAACGAATTAAACCGAAAATAATATTCCACGGCAAGCCCGCAGAGGAAGGGGGTCAATTATGGAAAAAAGAGGGCCTATTATACGCAGAAGGAGTGACAGTTGAGTTCAACAAGACTGCCTACAACAATGAGTACTTGTTCAAAAGATGGATTGAAGAGGAATTGGTAGCGCTGACTAAGGGAGACGAGTACCTATTGGTAATGGATGTCGCTTCCTTCCATAAGACAGATTCCATCCTTGCGCTATTACGTCAGCACCACATCACACCCTGCCTCATACCGCCAGGGACCACTTCCCTCCTCCAACCTCTCGATACCGCAGTCAATAAGCCCTTCAAGCAGTGGCTTTCAGAAGCAACCGACGCTTACGTACTCGACGAGGAAGAAAAAGCGCTGAATAAGCAGGAGGAGCTCAAGTGGGAGACGGGTATGAAGAGAATAATGGTCACCAAAACAGTCGAGACGGCAGCCGCTAAATTGGCCCACGAGAAGGGCTCAATGGTCAGCCAGGCCTTCCTGCAGTGCGGAATATCTATTCGGCCCGATGGCAGCCAGGTCGACGAGATCCGGATCAAAGACGTGCCCGCCGAGGCCATCGATTACACTGGGTGGGAGCTCTTCGACGTAGAAGCCCACATTGAGCAGGAGACGCTGCAAGAGGAGATTCCAGACTTCGCTGTTCTGAACGACGGGTTAGAGTACATTTTCACAGCAGAGGAAGTCCGTGATGGCATCAATGGGCAGTTCGTCGACCCGACAGTCCAACCGCCGTATGAATAGGGGCCCGTTGGAGGCAGTGGGCCAGGGGACAGTCAGGGGCTCGGTTGCTTACGTACGACTGCTTCCAATTGACACTTTTGCCCTTTTTGCCAATTCGACGAGAAAAGCTCAAAACCGACGAGAAAGCCAAAATAATTATTGAATTATATCAATTGTGGGTCCGGCCTCGACGGCGAGCTCTCATTGGTCAGATCGATCGAAATGTTAACCTACGCCAAAAATAGGTGGCGGCCGCATTTAACCACTTTAGGCAGTATTACGATTCTGCCAGAGCGCTAGCAGGGCTGGCACGGGCTAGCGCAAGTTCGAGTTGCTCGAGTTTCTACGGTATGGTATACCGGACCATGGAACCGGGATTCAGGGCCGAATGGGCGATGCGACGGGGCGAGCTTCATCGTTTGGTGGTGAACTTGAGCCCGCCAGACCGGAAGCACTTGGTTCCATTTGGCTTTGCTTGCGTAGTGCGTAGCGCCGCTGGGAGTTTCCATGTCTTTTTGACTCTCACCCTAGAGACCATAGGGTAAAATTGTGTGTGAGAGAGACTGTGAGTCTCACTCGCTGTACTTTGTACCCGTATTTGTAAGATGCTCACAGTGAGACACCATGCAACAGTCAAAACGTTGTCGTAGGGCATCAACTCGCTATCCCAAGAAGGGTTGCGAGTTTCAGCGGAACTAGACGGAATAGGAAGAAGGCGAGGAAAATCTGTTGCGGGCGTTCGTGTTCCTGGTTTTTTTCTTTTTAATTGTCTTCCCCGTTGGAGTTTCATGGTCCCTGGGGTTGGCGTTTGGTCGCTTAGGGACGATCAACTGCCGCCATCCAGGGGGAGCCAACCACCGTTGAGCAGCATCGCTTCTCGAAGGCAAACAAACACCATCTATTACTTTCTCGGATCGATTGATTGCGGCCCAGCCTACTGGTATCCTGGGAGGGTGGTGGGAGGCGGGAGTTGGGCCGAAAAGAAATATGTGGCGGCAACTATAAGTTGTCGTTTTTTTCCCAGTCTCTCACACACAGGTAATACAACGCAACACGATACGACAAACGCCTCCGCTCAGCCACACAACCACGGCAAGGCGAAAAAAGGAGGTCGGTTTGTGGAATGGCATTGAGCTTTGAAGACATTGAAGCAGACCTCAGGAGTAAAAAACTCCATAGTTGTCAGTCGACATCTCGGACAGCCCGATATGCAAGGGTAAAAAATCTTCACAAGCAGATTGCACAAGTCTCCACGTTCATTTATCACAGTGAGAAAGAAGAGGAGATTCGGAGAATAAGAAGGAAAGAAGGAGTGGAAGGGGATCCGTATTAACTTGGATGTGAGATTCGAATGTGGACCATCGACCGCGGCTCTTAGATCCATTCTCTCTTGAAAACAAGCGCCATCTGCAATTATTCTGTATCGGTACGGATCCGTATGGCATGTCCAATAAATAAACAAACAATAATTATCTCGCTGATTTAGTGTTAGTTATCCGCAATCTCATTTCAGCCCACCTATTACTGTTAGTGTTGGGCCCCCCGGCCTCCCCCGGCCTCTGCACTGACAAAGATCCCGGACCGCGGACGGAGCACCCAGCGGGCCAGCATCTTTGACATTTGCAGCAAGCAGGGCAGCAGCAGTGGCACCCTGCAGATATTGTGGTTTCTTCTTCTTCTGCGCGGCACGGGCATCTCCAGAAACAGACGGCATTTCCATTCTTGTTTATTGAGAAGGGTCAAAGAGCGGAAAAGGGAGGGAGAATTTTATTTATTTCTTGATATTGACGAAACGATCAGAGACGCATCAGGAAGGGGGCGGAAAAGGGGGAAAGGGAAGCACGGAAGGAAGGAAGGAAGGAAGGAAGGAAGGAGACAGGTTTGTCTGCACCTTCTTCCCCGAAACCGAGATCAAGTACGTATATCCGTACTCCGTACTCAATAAGATACCTTGATACCTGGGTGGTAATGGGAGGCAGGTGCGGATACATCATACTGCTCGTTTGCTCCTTTCCAATTGTTCCATCGTCACATCGTCACATCGTCACATCTTGCATCAGGCTGATCAGGGTCCCTACCCCCTTTCCTCTCCTCCAAACGTTTTCTTCGTCACCAAGACCAAACACAAATCACAAATCAAAGCCCGTCAATCACCCCTTCCCTCCTCATCCCTCACCTCAGTGACGACATCCCATCCTCGTCCGACGCCCCGACCTCCAAAACCAACGCTACCCGTGACCCGTCAGCTTTAGGTACGGATAGCTTGAGGAACACACACACCAGTGACCAGCGGCACCACTCATCGGAACTGCACGAGAGAAACACGAGTGCTACAGGGAGCTCCCCTCTTGCGATCCCACAATCACCGAGACAGAGCCGCGCAGTCGCATCCCGTCTTGCAGCCAAACAGCGCCCGGGACAGACTCTCACTCTCTCTATTCGAATACCTCACCAGGTCAGAGCTGGAGGTTCCCCATCAGAGCTCCCCACCGAGCAGGCCTCATCCCTCTATTTCTTCCACTTCACCCTCGGACGGGGCGACGCTCGAGCACTACGGTGACCAGTCTTTTCTCTCCCACGGCCACCACAGACATCCCCCATACGAGCACGACCAAGAAAAACAAATACATAATAAGAGGGCGGAGCGAGGAAGAGGAGAGTCAGCAGCCCGGTCCTTGGTCTGCTGGTTGCTTTTGCCTTTAATCCGCATCCATCTCGAGCTTTGGGTTCCGATTCTGCTTTATTCGTATTCGACCGACATCCTTGTGTATCTACCTTGATTGGTATCTTCCCTGTCTCGTAGGTTCTTGCCATTCAAGTTTCGGCCCCCAAAGACCGAGTGCATCCGTCAATCCTTCCCTTCCATCGATTCATTGCAACGCAACGCAACGCTACACAATACAACGCAACACAACTCAAGGAAAAGCGCACCGCAGCACCGCCGCCAAGGGTCGGTATCAAAAGCAAGCGCATCCCCTCGCTCATTCTGTCATCCGTCCCGCCATTCATCCATAGCGAATACAATCCGCCCACCACCATCCCGCATTATCGCTGCGATATTCGGGCCATCCCAGAGAGACACACCACCCAACCACCTTCAGGCCAACCAACAGCGCCGTCACACTTTCGGATTTCACACCAATATCAAGCAGCTTACCATCAACTTTCACCTGTTGACTGCATCTGCGGCTGCACCCAATTGACCAACGACGTTCTCTCCTCCCCTCGTCGCCCAAGCTTCAACTCGCGACAAAAGAAACATCTTGTCTCACCTTCTGACGGCGAAGAATACGAACGGATTCTATTTACGTCCAGCAATCCAAACCCACCAATTCACATCTCGCGCATTGCAACCTTAACGGTCTACACTGTCTGTCTCGCGCGCGCGCGCCACACGATACGGACTATCCCCAACGACACCTCCATCATCCCATTCAGCCCTCTCCCAGCGGGCACCTAGAAAAGACGACGAACGACACCTGCCACGCGCACCAAAGCAACAACCAACTAAAATAACAACCACGAGGCAAAGAGAGGCGACGCAAACCACACAGACGCACACCTTACTTCAATTTCCGTGCCTTCCACTCTCCTTCTCGTCTTCGTTTTCTCCACCTCGCCCAGAAAAAGCCCACGGTCCCAAACGAACGAACCCTGTTTGGGGGCCGCTCCCGTGAACGATTACGCCACAGCCTTTTGCCTCTTACTCGATCCTAACTAAAAGAAGAAAAACGGTCGAACCGCGCGCGGTCTGAGAGCCGAAACGAAGCTAAGAAGGACAAGAGCTGCTGCACTGCCGTCCGACGACCTTGCTCCCACGAGCCTACGAGTACCTTACCTGCCCTACCAACGCTACTAATAGAGAGTCGGACCTCTTCTTATCTCACCTCACCCACCACTTGCTGTACTACTTTCCCCCCAAATTTCTCGACCGAATCCCTCGAACGAGGCTTTTCCTTCTGAAAGATTATCACGAAGTTGCATTCGACCTGTCTTTTGGACTGTGCAGTTCAACCCTCAGTGCAGCAACCAACATACTTGCGACGCCAAGTCTACCGTCATCGAGCGTCCTCCACTCGCGACTTCTAACGGCGCACGCGACGTGTGACGACACAACCTCGGAGCTGTCCCCGCAATCCAAGGCGGCCGACATTGGACCACCACAACCACTACACTTCAAGCTCGTGTCCGGCTTTTCGGAACAAAAGACGACCTACGCAATGTCAATCTCACAACAAGCTCCGACGCCCATTTCAATTACCATTTGTGGCGATGGCGGCTGCGGAAAATCCTCCATAACCCTCCGTCTCGTGCGTTCGCAATGGACCTCCGAATACGACCCCACTATCGAGGACTCCTACTCCATCACCCGTAAGATCGATGGACAAAACTACCACCTTTCTCTTACAGACACGGCCGGTCAGGAGGAGTACCGCGGCATGTGGGCCTCTTCGAACCTTGGCGCAGACGCTTTCTTGCTCGTGTACGACATCACCTCCCGCGACTCCATCGACGCCCTCCAGTACTTCAACGACCTCATCGACATGGAGGCGGAAACGCGCCTCGACAACGCCGAGCGCGCAAAACGTGCCGGCCTCTCACCCTCCTCCTACCGCGATACTGTATCCGCCACGCCGGGCGCTAAGACCGTTCCCCCCGTCAAGATCGTCGCCGGCAACAAGTGTGACCTGCAAGAGTCCCGGGCCGTTCCTGCGGCCATGGGTCTAGACTGGGCGCGCCGCCGAGGGTGCGGCTTCATGGAGACGAGCGCAAGGCTTGAGGTCAATATTGAGGAAACATTTGCGCTCATCGTCCGTCGCGTTGTTGAGGCCAGGCGCATGGCGGAACTTGGTGTCAACGAAAACATGGAAATGGACCGGAGGGGCATGACCAAGCCGCTGAGTCCCCTACCGGCGGGCAGCGAGCAGAACGAAAAGCGCGGCCCCGGTGTACGGGGTCCGAATATTGATGGCAAGGTCGGCAAGGCATCGATATGGCGGAAGCTCCGATGCTGGTGAGGTTTTTGTTCTTGTGGCTCCAGGAGGTTGCACAGCGCCGAGTATTGCTGTCGTTGCGTTTGGAGCAATCGCAGCGGTAATTCGAAAGCGAGGCCGTCGAACGAGGGCATGAACGGCTTCGTCTGCCGCCCTACGACTGAGAAAGGGGCCGACTAGAAGCTCCAAGTCCCTTTCTCTTTGTGCCTGGGGACGAGTGTGATAACCGGAGCAAGCTCGGACTGCCGCTGGAGAATAGGGATTGGTCTGTACGAAACGTCACGGCGATGAAGCGCTTCATTTTGCATGGGAGTTGAGGCGGCTGCTCAAGCCGGCACGATGTTCTTTTTTGCGCCTTGGAGATTCAGAGAGATTGGGACTTACACTCAAGTGTAGCATCATCAAACGCGGCGTTTGGGAGTCTGCAGCGCAAGTCCTTCGCCGCCTGTTGTACGGGTTGCGACGGACAAGGGACCTGGATCCGGGGTCTGCTTTTTTGGCAAATGACCGATATGGCCCAGCCAGGCCTTATCTCAAATTCTGTGTTTTCTTGTGTTTTGTTTTTCGTTTAGATACCAATGATGCGTGTGAATTATCAAGCATATTCAAGGTGAAGAATGGCTGATCAATTATTTCGCTGTGAGATTGATTGAGATGATTGCAAATCGAATGAAAAAAAACTAGTCATATCTCTCTCTCTTCATTTCAAGTTTAGAGCACAATGTGCCACCGCCGTGGCAAAACTCGACCCTCATCCTCGGACTCGAAACCCCGCCCTGATATCTCTCTCTGTGTCCCAGTATACCAACAACGCCGTAATATCATCTTTTCAAGAAACCTCGTCTGAAACCTGTCCAAACACCTCATCTAGTCTTTCTCTCTTCCATCTAAGCTTTTCTAATCCCATCTAACATAATAAGCCTAGGTGGTGATCTTGGCGACCTTTTGCCACAGGCCGTTGTGGGACCAGGTCCAGTTCTTGAGGAAGGGCGGGTCCATGCCCGTCTCAAAGGCCTCGATGCGGGCGGCGATCTGCTGGTTGCGCAGCGTCTCGCGGGCGGCGGCGCCGCGGTTGTGGAGCTGGGGCATGCGGTCGATGGCGTCCATGGCGAGGCTGAAGCGGTCCGTCTGGTTGCGGATGGCGAGCTCGAGGGGCGTGTCGATGTTGCCCTTTTCCTTGTAGCCGCGGACGTGGAGGTTCATGTTGCCGGGCCGCTTGTAGGCGAGGCGGTGGACGAGCCAGGGGTACGAGTGGAAGTTGAAGATGACGGGTTTGTCGTCTGTGAAGAGGGAGACCCACTCTGCGTTTGTGAGGCCGTGGGGGTGGTCTTCGTGGGAGATGAGCTTGAAGAGGTCGACACAGTTGACGCAGCGGATCTTGAGCTCGGGGAAGTGTTGGAGGAGGAGGTCGATGGCGGCGAGGGACTCGTGGGTGGAGATGTCGCCGCACGAGGCCATGACGAGGTCGGGTTCTTCGCCTTGGTCGGTGCTGAACTGCGGCCAGATGCCGATGCCCTTTGTGCAGTGCTCGACGGCCTTTTCCATGGTGAGGTATTGGAGGTGCTCCTGCTTGTCGGCGACGATGACGTTGACGTAGTTTGACGAGGCGAGGCAGTGGTCCATTGTGGACAGGAGGCAGTTGCCGTCGGGGGGGAGGTAGATGCGGACGACCTCGGGACTCTTGTTGGCGACGACATCGAGGAAGCCTGGGTCTTGGTGCGTGAAGCCGTTGTGGTCCTGGCGCCAGACGACGGCGGTGAGGAGGATGTTGAGGGAGGCGATCTTGTTGCGCCACTCGACCTCGAGAGCCTTCTCGATCCACTTGCAGTGCTGGTTGACCATGGAGTCGATGACGTGGACTACACTTTGGTTAGCATGATGTTTAGTAAGTAAGAGGCAGTGGTGAACTTACTAAATGGCTCGTAGCTGTTGAGAAGACCGTGACGTCCCGTCAGGATGTATCCCTCGAGCCAACCCTCACAGGTGTGCTCGGAAAGCATCTCCATGACACGTCCCTCAGGGGCCAGGTTGCCACCGTTGGCATCCTCTTCAAAGTACTCGCCCATCCAGACCTTCTTACCGGCCTCGTAGACAGCGCCAAGCTTGTTGGACTCAGTCTCGTCGGGGCCGAAGAGACGGAAGCTCTGCATATTCCCGGCCATCACGTCCCGAAGGTAGGTGGCCATGTTGTTCATGCTGGCAGCCATGGTGCCGCCAGACTTGTCGACTTTGAT